ACCTTCAAACCTTTTGTCTAGATGTCATTTGTTATATATGCGCATGTATATTTGTGCTTGTTTGTTTATTTCAGATTCTCTGATGGCTCGGGTGGATGAAGCGTCTCAAGAGGGCAGTGTGACTGTGACTCAGGACCCGCCGAAGGCCACAGAAACCTGCGTCTACTGCTTCTCCGAGCCGCCCGGCCATCACCCGGTTCAGACCGGGCCGTTCAGGATCATATGTTCACCGACACAAACAAGCATATGATAATAACGCCAGATCCGCACGCTGAGGAATAGAAAGCATGAAACTCTACTGCACACGTCATTCCTCAAGCCTTCCTATGGAAACGTGACTTCACTTCAGTTTTAATAAAATTAAGTTAATGCTGTTTTCAATAGAGCACAACACACTTTCAAGGCCTCTTGATTCTGAAAGTAGCGTCCCCAGTCATGTTGGGAGGTTACACTCTAAAAAAATGCTGTGTTGTTTCAACCCAACTTTGGGTCAAATATGGACTAACCCAACTTGTGGGTTAAAAATGTAATTTAAAAATGTAACCCAATGGTTGGGTTAGTCCATATTTGACCCAAAGTTGGGTTGAAACAACCCAGCATTTTTTAGAGTGTACTTTGGAAATCTAATAATAGGTTACAGATTACAAGTTACCCTGTTTAAAATGTAACAAGTAGTGTAACTATTTCAATTACTTTAAAGTAGTGTAATGGAGTACTTCTCTAATGAATGTTTCCAACCGTTATATTCTCAAACATTTAAAGCAGGCAGGGTTAACATTACAGTAGTGCTCAACACTGAACACAAAACCCTTCCTCACTTGAATTAAGATGATAAAGATTTGATGTTAAAGCACAGCCACCACAAAATCAGACTTTGAGATCGTTGTTGTGTTAAATGCAGATTTAAAATCATAAGATGTAGTTTAATAGCTGCGATACTGTTTTTGAAACAACTCTCTGCATAGCTATGACAGGCATCTAACAATGCCTTGGGGGAACAAAAAAGTTAATCTTAAAATATAAAATGTATACATAAACCCAAATAGGAAATAAAACGGTTATCGAATAAGCATGTGTCCTGTTCAACTCCTGAAACATTGGCGTCTCATATTTTAAAGCAGTCACGGTAATTTGGGAAAGAAATCAATTAAATTGTGTGTTAACACTTTATTTTAAGGTGGCCTTGTTACACGTTACATGAACTTACTATTATAATAACTAATTATGCATAATCACATGCAAGTAACCCTAACCCTAAAGTAAATGCATGTAGTTAATTAATATTACTCAGTACTTAAATGTATAACTACACTGTAACAAGGACACCTTAAAATAAAGTGTAACCAAATATGAGCAGCTTTGCACATTCTGGTTTCCACGGTATATGTATATGTGTATACACACACACACACACACACACACACACACCACACACAGTGCTGGGGAGTAACTGATGTACATGTAATCTGGATTACGTAATCAGCATTTTAAAATGCTCATAATCAGATTACTTTATGGATTGCATATTATTTGATCTCATGATGCAGGGCTTCCCAAACTTTTTTGCAGGTCAAACCCTTTGACCTTAAATATTTACTTGAAGTCCCCCTGAGCTTTAAAGTTAATATTTCAATCATTTAACGACACATTTGCTTGTTTCTCTGATGTCGTTTAATGGTCACATCACGTAAAAAAACCCAAAAACATTTCTAATGTAAGAATTTAGCTCGCAAGTAATCTAGAAGTAATCCAAAATTAGTCCGAACACATCTAAATTACATCGTTGATTACAATTTTCATCATGCAATGATCACAATCTGTACGTAATCTCCCCAGCACTGTGGTAATATAGTATTTTAATAGAAATTCAGCTACTGAACATGATTTTGTGGTTTTCATTTAACAACATCAGAGTTGTATGCATCTTGAAATGTTCATAATCAGCTTTTCATTAGAGAAAAATTTATATTTCGTCTTCTGGAACCTTCTGTGGTTGTTTAAGGCAGGACACTACAGGTGAATGAAAATTAACTAAAATATCACCATATTTTCCCCAACTGATTAATTACAGTACATTAAAAGAAATAGTTTTATAATACAAGTTACACACACACACACACAGGTGCCCACATACCTGCATGTGCGCACACACACACACAC